TTCCTGAATTCGGTGAAATTGGAATTTATCGAATTCCGAATTGAATTCGGAACGAATCTGAATTCGAAGTTGGTGAATTCGAAATCGAATTCGGTTGGAAATTCTGATGCCAAAATTCTGAAAAATTTTCAATTTCAAAGTTCCAAATTATCGATTTCAATTCACACACCTAGTTCAAATTGGTTCAACCCATTAACATCGTGGCTTCCCATCCCTTCTCAGTTTGAAAAATAGAGAAGGGTTAAGTGCACGCCATCTATAGGATTAATTTTTCTTACACTATCAGATACACTGACGAGGTTGAATAAATGTCACATCATCTGAATTTGAATGTAGCATGTGTCTAGATCCGTCAGTATATATACTGCAAGTGCATAAAAGATTTACCCTAATATATTAAAAAAAACTTCTTTGCGAAAGGGAAAAAGAAAAAGAAAAAAAGGTCTAATTTTTTTTTTTGGTAAGAATCTTGGGTCATACAATGTGCTAGGTAGACTACATGTTTTAGCTGCCTAAGAATACTGTTTCGTAATAAAGCTTGGGACATATATAGTTGCGTGATTATTATTTGTTTGGTTATTATTTTCACATATTTGCTAAGATATCAGTTGTGGGGTGCTGGGCATTTCCCTAGAGAATGGGCAAGACGCACAGGAGTTTTCGCATGCTGGGTAATCGAACAAGTTGATGATCTGTATAATAATGCCAGAAAAACATGATCAAAGACGACAATTATAGCTTGTAGTTATGCATATGGTCGGTGAAAAACCGTAAGCTTATTTATCTCTTCTACAATTACAACAAAGCTTAAATTCATAAATTTCAATGTTTGTCTTTTTTCTCCCACCAGCTTCAGAGATCCTGTATACCCTAACAACTAATTAGTAGTCAAATAAAATTTTTCATGAATAAAAGCAAACCTGAAATTTCCAATATCATCATTATACGGGTGTGTGGATGCTTTTGATAACCCAATTCCAAGGTAAGCTATATATATAAACGATAGATTGCAACATATTTGTCTCTGGCTGTGGCATGTTTATAGTTTATACCCCTCTGAAACATTTCATTGTCGAACAAAAAAAAAAAAAAGATGAAAGGATGAGAATATCACCACCATATACACTCATAGATCACTTTCCCACACTGAAATCTGAATATTTCAAACGGCAATAAGAACATATATTATGTAATGTGAAGTGTAAGGCCGTTTTCAAGGACTAACATGCTACTCAAAAGTGTCAAAATTTTTTGTATGCAGAGGGTATTGAATTGAGATTTCTAAATGTAGTAACACTAGATGTTTCTATATCCGACCAATAGTTCCCTTCTACACTTTATTGTACCTGAATATCATCCACCTCTAATTCAATAATTTATCTTAAATTTTGATTACAAAAACAATTACTTTAGTGCTGGTTTTTTTATCCAAATAAAAATCCCCTAATAGAGCTCTGAAGGTAACACTCTCCAAAAGGCCGAAACTTTTTCTTTTTCCATTTTTTTTTTTTTTTTTTTCTTTTGGTCCTATACCTGTCAGCCTACATGTCCAACCACAATCTCCTCATTAAACTACTTAAACCACCCCAACGAACACAAACTTCCGACCCGGATTATGAGGACCCGACAAATTCCTCTGCACGCAAGAATTACGTTTCTTGCTGACATGTGTCGACACCTCATTGGCCTCCACTCCCGCCTTCAAGACCTTTTATTCATTTATTTATTTTAATTCATCCCCTACAAAGTCTCCCTCCCATTCCTTCCTCCTCTTCATTCTCCAATCTCCATTGCCTCTATCCCTTGTCTAGTCTCTCATCAGTTTTCCCTTCCCTTTGATCATTTTCATATCTGGCCTTCTCTCCCGATTTTTGTTAAACCATTCGTCATTTTTTTTGGTTTAGTTTTCATGGTTGAAATACACAACATCTTTTTTGAATGATATAAGAAAAGGAAGGAGGAAGGCCAAGAATGTTTTCTGACACCTCAAGTTTGCCTCCAAAAATAGGCAACATGACCCATTCGGACCCCAACATTTGCTCCGCAGCCACAGATGATGAAATGGCCGCCCGGCACAGCAGCTTCTCAGGCTATGATGTTAGCCGGTTGAGCGGCGAGATGTCCCCCATGACGATGTCTCCCTGGAACCAAAATTCACTTTTTACCCAGTCCCCATGGTCCAAATTTGATGAAAATGTGCCACAAAATGTCCCTCAGAATGGCCTCATCGGTTCGCTTGTTCGCGAAGAAGGCCACATATATTCATTGGCCGCGAAAGAGGACCTTCTTTACACGGGTTCGGACAGCAAGAACATCCGTGTTTGGAAGAATATGAAGGAATTTACAGCATTCAAATCCAACAGCGGCCTTGTTAAAGCCATTATCATCTCCGGGGACAAGATCTTTACGGGTCATCAGGATGGAAAGGTTCGTGTGTGGAAGATTAATCCTAAGAACCCCAGTGTCCACAAGCGTTCAGGGACTTTACCAACTTTCTTTGATATCTTCAAAGCCTCAATGAAACCTAGTAACTATATCGAGGTCAAACGTAAACGGACTGCCCTCTGGATCAAGCATGTTGATGCCATTTCTTGCTTGAGCATGAACCAAGAACAAGGGCTTCTTTATTCTGCCTCGTGGGACAGGACGTTTAAGGTTTGGAGGGTCGAAAACTCGAAATGCCTGGAATCTGTTAAAGCCCATGATGATGCGGTTAATTCCGTTGTGGCCAGTCTGGAAGGATTGGTGTATACAGGATCCGCCGATGGGACTGTTAAGGTTTGGAGAAGAGAATCCAGTGGTAAAACAGTAAAGCATCATTTTATTCAAACCCTCTTGACTCAAGAATGTGCAGTGACTGCTTTAGCTGTGAATAAATCAGGATCGGTGGTTTATTGCGGCTCATCAGATGGGCTAGTCAACTTTTGGGAACGTGAGAAGGAATTGACCCATGGTGGTGTCTTAAAGGGTCACAAATTGGCCGTCCTCTGCCTGACTGCAGCAGGGAACTTGGTTTTCAGTGGATCGGCAGACAAAACCATATGCGTCTGGAGGAGGGAAGGAAATGTTCATACCTGTCTCTCTGTCTTGACTGGTCATACTGGACCAGTCAAGTGCCTGGCGGCTGAGGAGGACAAAGACTCCTCCACCGGTGATCAGCGGTGGGTGGTTTATAGTGGAAGTCTTGATAAATCAGTTAAGGTCTGGAGCGTTTCTGAGACAGCACCAGATTTGCGCCATATGGGTAACATGCAACCAGGCCAGGGTGATTCTCCTTGGGACTCGATACCTTCAGCAAAGTATTGATTACAACAGACCTGGAGGAGTCAGTCATTCATCAAAGTTTGGTCGACGATCCCGGTAATTAATTGCTAATCCATGATATTGCGATAGTCTTTTGTTGGATAAAATCGTGAAACAGGTGCGAGAGAGATCTTGATTCTGGACTTGGAAGTACCAATGCTAATGTGATATTCATGAGCGGATGGATGATTATGGACGACTGAAACAGTGTGTGGAGAGTTTACAATTCGCGAATAAAACTTGCTTGTAATTTAAGAACTACTTTAGCCTAGGATCCTTTATTTATAGAAAGTTCTTGATACATATTTATCTGTTATCTCCATGTTTAAGCTGTGTTTGGTGGTTCCACTAACAATGGATCGATAAGACGAAATTTGAAATCTTATTTTTTGAGTTTCCTGCACTGGTTGTCCTGAAGCTGGAAGAGTGACGATCAAAAGGTTGGCCGAATCTGTCCAGCCAAAAAGACTGGGGAGCCAACCCCCCCCCAAAAAAAACCCATTGCTAAATTATTCAGATCTTAAGTTTGACCCATTCCAACAATAATAATGATCATCCAGCAAGCATTTGGTAAAAGCACGGATCCCGTATTGATGTGTATGATTGGATTAGTACCTGCAAGCATGTTTACCGAATCCTCTACCACTCGTACCCCTCCTAAAGTTTGTTTCTCTCTAAATTGGAAATTCTTGTTTCTTCTTTCCAAGAATGGACTTTTAGGAACAAATTGAACGGACATTTGCTCGAGAGAGGGTGACCATAATATTTCTTCCCAGCAATATTATTTTCTATGATTGAGTTCAGACACTCCAATTTTATTGCTCACTATAACACTAGAGAAATCAAATTATGAGAAGTACCACAAAACACGACCAGAATGGCTACCCAGTTAATTGCAATTTTAATGCTTGGACCTCAATTATTAAATCAGCATCCTCACTTCTTAGTTGTTCTTAGCATTAACTACATGCAGAGGAGTAGGAAATATAATGGATATGTTAGTCCGTAAGACAGCAACTTTCTAGAGTATACTAGATTATTGACGGATCTTCAAGATTTTCCAGTTGTAAGGTCAAATTAACTATCCATTGTTGAAAGATAATCTGGGATTAGTTGCGGACAAGTTGCTGCCATTCCTTTGGACTTGACGTTTTATAATTACGAATTCCTGGAAAAACGATGGCTTTAATCCTTGGATATTCATTACCCAACATGACAAACAAGAGGGACAGAAATTGTAATTCAGATTCTTCGTAAAATGCTCTTTGGAGTGTGTTTGATATATCAACTACACCACGTAAATCAGGGGAAAAGTCCAGAAGATACAATTAGAGAACACAACCCATCAAATTTAGACAGGTTGATAATGTTCTGCTTGTGATCTGTACCTCCAACATCTCAGCCTCTTGTAATTGAGAAATTTAGAGGGCACTGCTGTTTTTCCAAGGAAAGAGAGAAATTTCCAAGTAAAACAGAAGTAGAGTCAAATTTACAAGGAAACACCAGAGCCTCATTCAGCTTTTCTGAGTGCCAAAATATTAATTTTTCTTTTCTTTGGGGTGCCCAAAGGTTTATATACTTCCCTTGCCCTTTCACATTACAAATCAAATAGGTTTCGTTTCTAAAAGGGCATAGAATCTTTTCCTCATTATTCACCTGACCGTCTATGATAAGTGCTGAGAAACTTGATGATGAAATGAAACTGAACACGAAGCATATTGGATTGCCATCTATTTGAACATTTTGAAGCAACTGATCCTGTGCTATAGAGTTCAAGTCTTGGGCAAGAGAACAAAGTGTCACTTTCACTGATCAACGCTACAGGTTACTTTTTCACTGAAAGGTTGATGACCAAGGTCTAAAGGACAAAATGATGAAGAAAATTGAAACTAACTCGTGTTTTTCTTTATAGCCATGAAATTTGGCTCTAGAAGTGAGCAAGAAGCATATACAGACAATGTTACACAGAAGTACACTCGTAACCGTAAGAATTTACTACACACTCACCAGTCAAAGATAAGGGACTACTCTAGGTGGACTTCTTAGTGAGAAAGCCTCCGAGAATGCTTTCTTCTTGATGTAGTACTTATACCTGGATTCAATCCATTGATGTGCCCGCTTCTACTACCGATTGAGTTTGAATCCAATACCAGAGGAACAACTTTACCCCCTCCTTCTAGTATTCTGAGAACCTAATATAATTTGAAAAAGTTATCAGTGCATAAATTTCCACCTTTCTTAAACGAATTAGAAAAAATAGCTAGACAGAAAGGCAAGACTAGTTCTGTCAACATTAGTGCAGAGGAGAGAATGCTACGGGTGATAACCATATTAAATTAACACAGGGAGGGGAAACCTTTGACATTGGGGGCCGTAGATCAGGATCTTTCTGTAGGCACAAGGATGCAGCATGGCTCATTGCCCGTAGTTCATATGGGAAACTTTGGAGCTCATAACTAACCAAGCAGGGATCCAGAAACCTCTGTTTATCTGCTAAAGAATGGCTTTCTTCCAGAGTACCCAAAGGGTGAAAGTTCTTGAACAGAAATTGCTGTCCACTGTAATTTGGCAAGGCGCCAGTTTTTTCACCCGTAATTAGCTCTAATAACACTAGGCCAAAAGCATATATGTCAACTTTCTCTGTAACTTTGGCATCAGTGAAGTACTCTGGTGCAAGATACCTACAGATATCAAAGCAGTTCAGCCAAATTAAGTTTGATTCACAAAACAAGTTCAGAAACATGTCAAGATATATAACTGAGGAAAATTCAACACACGGATTAAAATGAACGCTTCTACTACATTATTCTTTTAGAATTTAAGGTAGTCATAAATGAATAATATATAGTGACAAAACAAAGTATTAAATTACCCATATGTCCCAATAACTTGCTCCTCATCACAAAGTTCCCATTCACGATGTAGTCTAGCAAGACCAAAATCTGCAACCTGAAAAGAATGCACTATATAATTGGGATGAAAATGATTATTTGACAGAGAAAATACACAAACTGTCAATAAAAAGCCAGAGTTGAGAGGTGGGTGCATGCTATTCAAAGATCTCAAATGGAATAGATTTTACTAATTCAGAAAATACTTGTAAACAGATTACTCCGATTTAATCACAGTTGCATGCTAAATTATGCAAACTAAATGCTTCTAGCAACCATTTACCAGAGGTTCAAAATCATGGGTCAGGAGGATGTTGTGAGGCCTCAAATCTCTATGTATTATACATCCCACCCTGCAATCTTCATGGAGATATCGTAAGCCTCTTGCTGTTCCAATAGCTATTTTGAGTCGCATGTCCCAATCAAGAATTGTATCCAAGTTTCCTATCAATTTTAAAAACATCATCCAAGTCAGAGTGCCGCAGTTTGCTATAGTTGAGTAACTGAAATGGGGACTCCACTCTTTTATGTATCAACATGAAAGGGAACAGAAAATACCATGTAAGTGTAGATCCAAGGAGCTGTTGCATATGTACTCATATACTAATAATCTCCTCTTCTGCTCAACGCAAAATCCAATCAATAGCACAACATTTCTATGTTGCGCACAGCTTAAAACTCGCACTTCCCTACAGAAATCAGCGTCCCTTTGAGATCCAGAAAACTTCAGCTGTTTAATTGCGACAACTAGTCCATCCCTCAAAATACCTCTGTAAACCAAACCAAACCCTCCTTCAGCTAGGAAATTCATATCTGAGAAACCGTCTGTAGCCTCCTCTAGCTCTTCATAAAGGAATTGCCTAGGGGGCTTTCCAAAAGCTGGTGCCTTCTGTTGACATTGTGAACATAAAGGAGGGGGTGTTGACAAAGTTCTGCACAAAGAAACTGCATCTCTGATGTTCGAGTTAAATTCAACATCTTTACCATAGGTTAGATTGTGTTTATGCCCTTCTGTCAACATACATGGCACAAGGTGGTGATGGTCATCTCTCATAGGTAGTGCTGTATTTTGCAATCCATTTTGGCAGTCTCCAATTTCTTGGGCTTTCTCGCTTATCTTGTGGTTCTGAGGAATCCAAAAGATTCTTTTATCATCCAAACTTAAATTTTCTGAGCTCATAGAAAGGGTTACAGTCCTTTCCTCAACTGAATCTGGCAAAGCAAGTGGATGACCAAAGCCATTAGGTTTATGGCTAGGAGTGTGCTTGCCCGTAGTTAGTTTTTCATAAAGGGGATTTTGTTGATACACAAGGAATTTAGAAGTGGCAGTGTCAGGACTGGATAATGAAGTTTCTCCTGAGGTTTTTGTGTAGGACGTGCTTGGCTCCTCAGGGCTACTCACAGGAGTCGAATGCTTCATCCTCAGTCCATGCAACTTCTGCACATCCAAAACAGGTGAAGAAGCAGCAGAATAAAAAGGGGTTTGAATTTCGTCTGAGCATTCAAGATTGAGCCTAAGGACTTTTGGCTGTGAACCCTTCATAACTACAATGTTGCAGTGAAGCTGATCCATGCAATGCCGAAGTTCTAGCTTCAGTTTTCTGGCTAAGGAGAACAAAATTTTTGAGTGAGTGTTGTATTTCTGAGCAGACAGTCACATGAACTAGGCGATTAAATGTTATTTTCCATTAAGGTGATGAGAGAACAAGATGGCTAAGAAATAAAATTTGATTAACAACCCTTAGAAACTCATGTAACAGCTTAGGCAGACATGCAAGGTTGAGGGTTGATAGCAACATAAAAATACATGTAATTCAAATCAAAAAATAACTAATGGTATCCATCTTGATGACAATATGAGCAAGCATTGATCATGTCATGTCCGAAAAATGCAACTCCAAAACAATGGCTCCGATGCTTCTAGTCAGGTCTAAGTGACATAAGTGGTCTAAAATGCAGGTAGTTAGCCAAACAAGGTTAACAACTAAAGAAATCTGCCACAGCAGAACTCTGAATTGCATTGAAGGGAAAGACATTAAGATAATGACTCGAACAGACCAGCAAGTAAACTAGAACCAACTCAACCAATTATTAACACACAGGAGATCCTTGATTAGAATTTATTCAGATTCTAGTCTAAAGTAAAATCAACTTTAATTCTCCTCACGAATAAAGACCAAAGAAATGGAGTGATGATCCATAAACATCGTTGACGTGTTTAGAACTCATCGTTTCAGGGAATACTTTATAGATATTGCATTCCAATTATTATAAGCAGCAATTTGCTTATAATTATTGGGATTTGGAGCAGGACCAGTAATTGGTTCAAGGTATTAACACTTAGGATTGGATATAGCACCAATTCTTTGATATATTTGAAGTGTTAGTGAAGTTTAACTACTTACTGATCCAAATTACTATTAAGCATATTACAAATCGAGAACTACAACCCTTTCCGGACCTTTATATGCACAACTAAATCGCTGGATGAGTTTTCTCACATGCCCTTCAATCAGAAGAGATATAGAGGCAAAAGCTATCATATCTTGGGGAACAGTTTATTAGAAGCTAACAAGACCAAGAAAAGAAGACATCGTAAACACAGAAAACCAAGACTTAGAAAATAAGAAATAATACATTTATGTTAAATTACTTGTCCAATACGACCCATTTGGCTGCATTATCCTTTGCTTCAGCTGCCACAGTGCCAGCAGGTGTAGCTGAGACGACTTTGATACGCACTCTGACCTACAAACAACACCAAGCATAACTCTGATTTGTTTCTCATTTTTAGTCAAATGTCTTGCTTTCATAACCAAACAACAAATTATGTCTGATAACATTCGATTTTAAGCAATATAGCAAACTACCGTAGTCATTAATAACCCTTCCCTCAGTAAATATATCAGGAATTGACTCCTTATCCCTACATTCACCGCTATTGGCATCACAGCCCATTGTCCTCCAAACTCCAACTCCAATACAAAAAGACCCATCATAATTCTTCTAAAACTCAAAAGTAGTGCGACAAAAGGGATCTTTCATCTATTTAATACAAGTAATGATTTTGTTTCCTTCGTCAATGCTCTAAACTTTAGATTTTACCACGCGTGACAAAAACAACACTATCAAAATTACCTAATTACCCATAAAAGTTAAAAAAAAATAAAGTTTAAAAGGTCTTGAAAGATGAAATCAGCATGGAATCTAGGAGAAGACAAAGAGGCCAATCGGCATCCCTTGAAAGTTACACTAAAAAGTAAAAACTAGAAATGCAGCAAAATTTTACTACTAGTCACTAAAACGTACATCAATTCGATCGTGAAATTGAAGAACCATTTGAGAACACGACTCAGAGATCTGGCCAATCCGGTCAGGCAACCTGTTCGTCGACGTCGGGTCAGCACCGCCAGCAGCAGCACGGCAGTCTCCTTTCAACCTCGGAAATCCCCAAAATCTCCTCCTCCCTGCACATATTACACACACTAATCACACCTTCCCAAAAAAAAAAGTCGATGTACTACTAGCAGTAGCTTGAGAATTACGGATATGCTTAAGAGTGCAGAAATTCTAACCGGTTTTCTCCTCGGGAAACACGGCGAGCAAGGTAATGCAGTCGCCGGGATGGACGACGTGAGTCAATGCCCAAGCCATTGCCGTCTTCGTGATCACCTTCTCTGCCTTCACGGCCACGATGACTTGCTCCGACGACATTTTTCCGGCAGCACTCCTAGGTGTCAAAGTCGTGTTGCTAATTTCCATTTAACAGCTCCGGTGATCGTAAAATTGAGTGCGGGAGAAAAAGATTTTTGGTGAGAGAGAAGAATATGAAGCTGGTTAGCTATGTAGGCCTCTCCCCCACCTTTTTTTTTCCCAAGTGCTCCAGTCGAGTTTGTAATGCACTAGTTGCAATGCTTGTTTCAGTAGGCCAACGACTCCTTGGTAAACAAACGTGACCTGTTAAGAAATTTCTTTTTTTTTTTTACGATTTTTTAATTCCTCAATTTGGAATTTTACATAACGAGTAACATATAGAAATACTTGATCCCAAAAAAAAAAAAAAAAACCTGAACACATTTAGATATTGGCAAAAACTTAGATACTTAATGCTATTTTCTAGAAAATTATTCCTAGCTTCTAAATTTCAAAATTCATCACAACCAACACTGACCATCGAGACGGCAAAAAAAAAGGAAATACAAAGATATGTAAGAAAAAGGGGAAAATAAAAGTTGATTATGGACAATAACTATCTTTCAATTGAACTTTGGTTTAGTTTTATGCTGAAAATGAACAGATTAATTGGTTTCAACAAAATAATTAAAGACACCTGATTAATCATTTTCTTTAGAAGAAGAGAAAGGTTGAGAAAATTCAATACAACTAACGTATGCATGTATGCAGCAAACAATGATAAGTGTTGTTTCTATCACTTTACTTGAATCGGGCCTAGAGTTGGGAGTCTTGCTGGCACCCAATTTCCCACAATTATAATGAGTTTTGACCCAATAATAATAATATGATTATTCTCATTAACTGAACCGGATTTCAACTTATGTTATCTGGGAAGGTCGCTGTTGCCTGTTGGCTTAAGAAATTAGACCTCCATTATTGATTTGTATTTTTCTTTTTTTCTTTTTTTTGCCCTTTTACGTGTCTCTTATGCCAACCCGGTTGGACCAATAGTATATATTTGCCTAATCTGCTCAAGTTGCGTATTTCTGGTTTGGTTTTATGATGAGGACCACACTGGGGTCTGTCCAATTGAATTTAAATTCTTGGTTGAGACCTTGAAGTTTGAGCAGTGGAAAGAAAAGAATGGTACTAATAATTTAAGGTGGCGTGACCATCTTGAGTTGGGGAGAGCTGCAATGATGGATCTTCATCATCATAAGCAGCCACCCAGACAGACATGGTCATGGAATACAAAGGTCGTGAAAGTGATTTGAGGGGGATGAATGGACGGTTGCCATTTTAAGATGATGAGAACTGTTGATTGAGAAATGAAAAATATGTATGTAGATAGTGTAGAAGGTAGAGGATGGCTTGTTTTGGCAGGAAAAGGCTGGCATGGTGTCTGTTCCGGTTATTATCATCATTTAAGACGTATTTCTCCGAAATTATAGACCGCATACAAGAATTTTTATATGGATCAAAATATGTTTTCGAAATCATAGATTGCATATTTGAGATTTTACAGATTATCCGCCAATATAGCTCTCACACCGACAAACAAGATTCGAACACACGATTTATGTTTAACCAATTTATGTTGTGGCAGAGGATGACCTTAAAATAGAGGGAGAGTGGAAAACGGATGGGCATGTTGTTGTCAAGGAGGGATCAGGGCAGCCCACACAAGAACCGAATCATGTGATTACAATTATGATGCAATTAATGCAACCAAATCATTAGTTTCATCATTCAAAGAATAAGCGTAGTTTGTGAGATACTAAGCCAATTATTCAGCTAAGTGGGCCTTTATTTGTCTGCAAATTGTGATTGTCTTGCTGGAGTTGAACTCTTTTCCATTTAGCTCAAAATAAATTATTATCTCTTTGTTGTCTAATCTGATGCTCTGCAGTTCATTTGGATGGAAGTAATCGATGAGCAAAGAAATGATTCAGAAATTAATTATTATAACAATTTTGTAATGTGATGTATATGAGACCAAAAAAATGATTAAAAAAAATAAAAAGATGTGTTGAAAAATATATTATTGGTACAAACAAATAATTTTTGTGCAAATAATGTCTATTCAAACACGCCTTAAACTTATTATTTTTCTTCATTTGAAAGTTTAAGCCGGGAAGAAAAGTAACGAAATAGAATAAACAGAATATGTCTCGCTAAATCCTTTTTTTTTTTTTTGGTAATGTCATTTTCACCAGTTAAACAAACATCTAGTTATTTGATTAAATGGACATATTTCTAAATTCAACATGTTACTTACCTTGCCTCTTGTTTTCTCTCCTAAGACCCCAAACTACAGAAAATATATAGTCGCAATATTTTGTTCTCTTTCTTTTCTTTTCTCATCTAAACTCTCAAACTAGGCAAAAATCTTGCACGGGGATGAAAAACCGAAAATGGCTTAAGGGACAATCCTTTGTTATATGCTTCTCAACTGGACTGGGTTTTGGCTTTTATTTATTTATTTATTTATTTTTTTGGGTTCTGAGCACCAGCGGAGGTGGCTGTCAAGTTGTTGATCATTTGCATAGGATGTTCATGAAAGTAGAGGTCCGGGAGGACAGAGTACTCGGCCCAACCTATCATGGCTTGGGTCATCACTTTACGGACAGCCTGGCCACACAAAAATGTCGGCGTACGATTGCTAAAACAAACCATAACACGAACCATCTAGAGTCTACAAACCATTACACAAACCAATATCCCCAAATAAATGGATTTTGTGGATCAATTTTAAAAAATTCCCTAAGCTCTTGAAATCCTAAAGAGCTAGTCTGATACCGTAGGAATTTGACCTGGCCATTAGCTAATTACTAGTAATTTGGAAGCAAAGCAAAAAGCTATGGTACTTTTAGAATTTGATTACTAGCAATTTTAGAATTTGATTAGCAAATCCGACCCCGGCCACATATCAATTGATTGCCTATTCCTGATCCCATGACTTGTTTAGTACTTTTTTTTTTCTGTCATTCATTACTTAACTACTTTTATTCTTACTCTAACCTAATCTAGGAGGAGAGAAGGACTGAACCGCCATTAGACCAAACGAGTATAATATGCATCCACATGAATTTAAGAAAATCACATAATGTAACAAATCTTTGGTAGTGACCAACAGGGCAAAAGGCTGTTGGTTCCATGACCTGTTTAGTACTATTTTTTTTTTGTCAACAACGATATATTGTATAACCAACTCTATCCTAATCTAGGGAGAAGGGGAACCTAAAGAGACTTGTGTATTAGGGGTTAGTAGGTATAGAGCCCCGTTTAGTACTTCCAATGTGATTTACTAACTCATTTTGCAACTTCCTCAAAACCAGGAGACTGGGACTGCGAGGCTTTTAAAGAGGCCATAGCTTTTTGGCTGAGGAGTTAGATAGATTGTTTTTTTCTTTTGACTTAACTCCATTTTGCAATCTCAAACTTGTGGCACTTTTTTATTTTACATTCTAAATTTTAATTTTGAACGCTTTACAATCTAAACTCTCAATTTTGAACACTTTGCATCCTAAATTCTCAAATTTATCCAATTTAAATCTAATAAATGACAAAATTAGCAAAATTAACGAGATAAAGAGTGATGTGAATTAATGAGAATGTATAGTTTTGTTCTGGTTGCAATTGACAAAAAGTCTTGGTTGATTGATTTGAATCACGACTTTCGTGGTTACGATTAATTATATGATAATTGACAAAAAAATCTTTCCTTGATTGATTTGGATCACGACTTTCGTGATTACCATTAATTACCGAGAGAAGTTTTGGATCAACAAGTCGCACCCGAGTACACGGTGACAATTGACAACCCTTATTAATTTGGCTCACGATCAATTATTGAGAGAGAGATCAACAATCATTATCCCCCAGCGTTGTCATTTCTAGCTTTATTTGTCATTTCCCCCCTTTTTATTAGTCTTTTTTTAGCCCTTTTATCAGTATTCAATTTGAGCATATATCATTGATGTATGGAACCGGCACCTGATGATACTATTGATTGACAGTGTTGAATTTGGTTCACAGTTCAGTTGAGGCTTCCTGAACTTTTTTGTCTCCCAGCTAATTACTCTTTTCATGTTTTGCAAGTGCATATAATCCTGTGGTCCGACGGATAAGGCCCTAGTAAATATATTTGCAACTTAAGTCTTGGTACGGTTTGTGCATGAAATGAAGCATAAACTACTACATATTTAAAACATATACTCCTGAAAAATAGGTATAGATGCTACATATTCTTCACACCATCCTTGGATGAGGCGTCTTCAAATACAATATACATAGATTATTTGGATAAGACTTAGATTTATTAATAAAGATTAGGAGACAGGCGCGGTGCAATTAGCACATCAAGAGGCGTGGCTTTGGCATTTGTTAATCCAGCGCTCTCAGTCATATCAACCGGTTCATCGCTCGGCTTTGAGATGTCAAATGCATGAAGCAAATCTGCTAAAATCAGGTGTATCATTTGAATGCCAAAATGCAATCCAGGGCAAATTCTTCTGCCTGCGCCAAAGGGGACCAGTTCGAATTGCTTTCCATTGATTTCAACACCTTTATGAGTCGAAAGGAACCTCTCAGGCCTATATTCGGATGGATCATCAGGCCATATGTTTGGATCCCGCTGGAGTTTCCACAGGTTGAATATCAGCCTCGTGCCTTTGGGGACATGATAATTACCACCACCGAAAGTGCAGTCTTCATTGAAGTCCCTAGTAACGCCCAGTGGAGAAGCTGGGTACAGCCGAAATGTCTCTTTGACAATGGCTTGAAGGTAGCCCAGATTGTTGATGTCTGATTCTGTTACTCGTCTATCCTTGCCAATATGGAGATCTAGTTCTTCTCGAGCTTTTCTCAGGACTTGAGGATTGTTCAACAAGAGAGATAGTGCCCATGTTAGCACAATTGCTGTGGTGTCACTCCCACCGGACATCAAATGATGTCAAGTCCGAATAAGTCAGTATAGCATTAGTAGAAACAATAGTACTAACTATTTTCTTTGCCATAAATAAAGGGAAAAGGGAAGAAAAAGAAGAAGAAGAAAAGTCTCGTGCTACCAGTAGGATTATAAACTCCAATTTTCATGTAAGTCTATTTCATGTTAGATTCTTTAAGAAAAGCCTAGGATGGTTTGAGCTAGCGGAGCAAATTAAGGCTATATTGTAGAGCATTAGATGAAAGAAAATGTAAGCCAAAAGAAAAAAAAATAAACGAAGACATTTCGCTTAAAATAGTGCATACTAGGCACGTGGCCTTGACAATGGTGTCAGCATCATAGCCTCGAGCAAGGTTCATTATTTCTCCTTGGCCACCTTGGGTGACCGAGAGCATTACGTCCATGAAGTCTTGTTGGCCATCACCCTTGCCGGACTCTTTTCTCCGTTTATGCTCCTTCAGCCATCCCTCAACAATCTGATCCATTTCTTTAGCAGTTTCCTTCAGTTTCTTCTCGTGTCCTTCTAAGTCTAACCAACCCAAGAAAGGAACGAAGTCGGCCACCACATATATCCCAACTAAATGAAAGAAATCCCTCGCCGCCTTCTGGCACTGCCTGGCTTCTTTCTCCTCACTAACATCTATTGCTCCCCCAAAGTATCTTTTTCCGGCAATCATTCTTATAATCACGTTTAAAGTCAAGCCCCCAACCCACCGCTTCATATCAACCAAAGCACGACCCTTTGATGACTCCCTGTAAAGCTCTTTCACGAAAATCCCAGTTTCAGAAACTCTCACGTGCTTGAGGAGCTCGAGCCGGCGAGCAGAGAGCAATTTTTGGGAAATTATTTTGCGGATCTCCCTCCAAAATGGGCCGTAAGGAGCGAAGCCAAACATGGCATAGTTGTAGCCGAGGAGTTTAGCTGCTAAACAAGTTGGTCGTTGTGATACAACCGTATCCTGGGAGGTGAAAAGCTCCTTCGCCATTTCCAGGCTACTGACTACCACGGCCCTGTGAACTCCGAGTCTTAGGGTGAATGATGGCTCGTATTTGTCAGCCATGCCTCCCAATATTATGTGGGCGAGCTGTGAGCCTCCAGCTAAGAGGTGGAGGTGACCAATTATGGGCCATGCGCCGCCTGCTTCAACCGGTAAACAGCTTTTGATTGGTCTAACTTCAGCCTGCTTAGAGTTGGCAGACCTCCAAAGTAAAAAGGAGAGAACAAAAGCCAATACAAGTAGCCCAACTACTGCAGCCCTAGGGTATAAGAGAAGCAATTCCATAGCTCAGTTTTGGGTAGAAACATGGTGGTATGCATATGCCACTCTTATCTACCTATTATCTCTGCCTTGTATATAAAACTAGAGAAATTTCTAAAATTATGATGAATTTTAAAAAAATTCTACAAATGGGGCATTTTGAGAGTGGGGTTCTGTCCAAGGGATCTTCGCATTCAGCAAATGCGAGTTGAGGGAACTCGCATTTGCTGAATGCGAAGTCTCTTGAATTTTCCTCCAACGAAATCCAAAAAAAAAAGAAAAAAGAAAACTAGACCTCGCATTTATGAAATGCGAGGTCAGTTACCTCGCATTTATGAAATGCGAGGTCACTGTGCTCAGACCGCAGACCGCAGAATGCGATCTCATCTCAAAGCTCAGACCGCAGAATTCTAGCGTGATGCCAGGAATACCGGAGATGGCACGGGCGTGTTACTAGTGCTGCTTACACCTCCCATGTCCTTGGTCTTGTGGAGAAGGAATGTTCCAGACAGGATAGTCACAAAACCACATACTTCAGAGACAATTTGCGATGCACAGCCACGAATTTGAAAGCCATTTGCGAAGGGAAAGAAAATGTGCAGCGCAAAGGGTCACAAAATTGGTTGGGGATGACTGCTGAGGTAGAAATGGCAGCTGGTTGGGGTGCAAATGGCGTCTGGTGGAAGCTTAACAATGGCGAACAACAACCGACGAGAAAGAAAGAGATTGAGGGATTTTGGGCAATTTCCTCTTGGAAGCTTGGACTGGTGTCTAGCTACGCAAAAGACGAGAGAGTGAGCTGGATGTGCAAAGTTTCGTTCCAATTTCTGCCCCTCTACTTATGGATTTGAATGCCGAATGTTTGACGTAAAGAACGGAGCTCTGTTTTTGGGTTTAGGTGAAAGAGACAGAGAAATGCGAGGTACTTTTTTTTTTAAAAAAAAAATGTATCCTAGCTCGCATTTGCCGAATTCGAGCTAAGTAAGTTCACATTTAACAAATGCGAACAACCCTATTTTAGAAACGCCTCCACCAATAGCCTTACTTGTAGAAACTCTTTTTTTTTTCATCATAATTCAAGAATTTACTCTATAAAACTAGGAGGCATAAACGCGCTTCGCGCGATGAAAATATAAAATGCCCTGCCCAATTTTGAAGCAATAAAAAATAATAATTTATGCAAAAAAGTACATTTTTAGCATAGGCATTTCACAAGTTTGGATAGTGTATCAATGCTTTAAATCTATAGATGTCAAGAGGGGTCTAATTCATATATAATCATAATTCAAAATGGCTTAAAAAGTTATCATCAGCTATGTGCTCTTGGCAACCGAATAGTGTCTAATATTTTCCCCTACGAGTATTGAAGAGATTGGATAATCTGTATACTTTTTATTTTGGTTGCCAAATTTCTTCAGAAGTTTAATTGCACTTTGAAAGAATTGGTGCAAAAAAACTTCTGATTTAGCGTTCATAGATTTTCATTAAGTAGTTGCTTCAATTTCAAGTTACTATCTTCAGTCCTTCAGTATACGCTACAATTTTTGTGCCTAAGTTCCACTGTATTTCATGTGTTAGTCATAGTTTTTTAGTTGTAAGTTCGTTTGGTTTCACTTATTACTTATCAACTGAATTTTTTTTTCTTACACTTTTTTTCTTATCCGTTGTAAGTTCCCTTGAAAGTATTAAGTTCATAAGTTGTAAGTTCTGCTATTTAACAGTCAAAGTTTGCTGGGTTCTTGTTACATGTTACAACAAGTTGATTGCATAAAATTCACATTTTCATGCACCCTAGGGCCATAGAATGAAATGTTTAAGAGTACTAAACCATTAGCTATCAATCACTAATCACAACAGGAAAAAACAATGCATCTGCTTCTAAAATGATGAGAAGATCTTCACATAATCTTTTGCTGAACAAAAAGAGACGAGATAAGAAAAGATAAGGCGCTATGTATCTCATACTTCCAGTTTTTTCTTAAAAAATTAAAAATAAATAAGTAAATAAATTTGGAGAAACAATCACATCACACTAAAGAGAGAGTAAGTTTAAAAAGGAAATTATAAAGGCTCCGAAGAAAGAGTTTTGCATAGTTCTCGTACGCTTTTTTGCTTTTTCTTTTCTTATTAATAATATACTACAACTGATTAGTAAGGAAGCGTTGTCACCACTTGCTGAATAGAGATAACTAAGCTAAACAAGTTAAATTCTCAACCTCAACTTCAAACTTAAGTTCCAGTCTTATGTAAAGGCATCAAAATGAATACTGCCATCCATGTCTTACAGATACGAGAAAAGCTTGCCAAAATTCCACTTATGGAAATGAGAATAAAAGATAAAGTCTTAAATATTAAAGTTTTGCCTCACATTGGTGATATTATTCACAAAGGTTAGGTAGGCGATAGAAAAAACAAAATTTAGAGAATTTTAACATTGAGTTTCTAGGATTTTTTGCGGCTGGCTTAAAAGTATAGAATATTAGTTCCTCGGAGTTATTTTTAGAGGCAATGTTTTTTGTTCCACAGAACTCTCAAATATTAAATCCACAATATAAGAAGTTGATTGCATAAAATTCACATCTTTGTTGAGGAAAAGTTTTTGTGATAGTCTGGCACTAAATTGAATCCAGGTCTACTATTGCAGTTTTAAATTACCATACACATGATGTTGGTTTTATATTTGCTATCTTGATTTAGTGTTTCTGGTTGGTTGAATTTTGCCGTTGAAATTTGTGGATGAAATTATTGATATGTCCATTCTAGTATTTCTTAATATTTTAGCTGCTTTTATCCTTAGCAGCTTGACATTCATTTAAAGTATGCCTAATTATATCTTTCTCTTTTTCTAATTTTTTTCTCGTGTGAGTATAATTTAAACATATTGGATATTTGTATAGTTTTACACTAACTGATATCTTTCTTTTGCATTTTATTTTGGTTGCCAACTTTGTTCAGGGGTTTAGTTACAATTTAAAAAAAGTGGGTGCTAAAAAGGCTTTTGTTTGGGGTTGACAGATTCGTATTAAGGAATTGCTTCAATTCAAGGTCATTTCTTCTGTTCTTTCACTAAATACTGCAATTTTTTTGCTTAAATTTTGCTCTGCTTGACTACACCCTGGACAATATCATAACTGAATGCATGCTTATAGCACTTTTCTTTCTTACATTTTGTCTTTTACTAGTTAATCACTCTGATTCGTCAAATACGATAGTCTCAAACAATTAGTCTTACATTTGTATCTCTTGATCAGCTGCTTGTATCTAGCAGTTTGGGCTTCATATATATAGAGGTTAGCTTTACTTTCTTCATTAGCTATCATTAGTCACATTTCGTTACTGCTACTTTCATTAAGATGAAATGAAAAAGGAATGCAAGTAAAGGATTTAATTTAGTAGATAAGTGGTTTGATGAATGTTACAATACCGAGACTTCATTAAAAGAAACCCAAATAGCTCTCATACAATAGAACAATGTGAAGAGCTATCAAGAAATCTGCCATTTTCCCAGGCTCATCCTGCTAATCCAATCCATATGCGTTCTAATACTACATATGTAGATATTCAGACCTCAGGAAATAATGTTGATCTAATTTGTCCCACTGATAGGGAGATAATTGTGCATTTTATTCATTGATGTTTGGTCTTGATTTTGGCCGTTTATTGCTTAGAGTAATCGGTTTCTGCTCATATTTGATATTTGTGTTATTTGCAGGCAACCGGTGTTAAAAGTGACAAAAAGAGGCAAAATTTCAGAAGACTAGTCATTCTAGAGCGTGCCCACGCCAGAGACTGCAGAGTTGCGTGAAAAAGACGGACCGCGGGGCCTGTCCCTGGAAGCTGCCGCAATTTTTGGAAGATGTAATTGGAAGTTACGTGGGATTAGGAGACATCTTCAGAGCCTCTTTTTTGGCAACAATTCAAGGAGGAAAATAAGGAAGCAATCCTTTTAGAAACAAACTCTGTGTTAGCAAAAGGAAGCGGCGGCGCAAACACTATAAAGAAGACAACAATAGACTAGGTCTTGGGTCTTTTATCTTTGGACCTTTTATCTTTTGTCTTTTATCTTTTTTTTCCCTTCATATACGTGAGTTTGAGACTAGCGGTTATGCCGCTCTTTACTTCAATCGGCTAAACTCCATGAAAGCCTTCAATTGCTTCGTGATTATGCGGCAAGATTAGTTCTTTTATCTAGTTGAGGAGTAATCAAGTCCCGAAGCACGAATAATTGTGAGATCATTTTGTTTATTCTATATTCTACATTTGTGAGTATTTAATTATTCTTTGTTTGAACAGCCTATTATTGTTTGGATTTATTGGATCAATATGGCCAATTATTCAATTGTCTAAATAATATATTGCCAATTAGAACAGGGGTGCGTATCACTTGAATGTCTTAAATTAGTGGCAAACGGTACCAATTTCATTGCCTCGCAAGCAGTCTAATTTGGGTCGTAGGAATAATTAATCTAGTTTAAATGAACCCGCATATGTGTTTGTTAACTAAAATTGGGTCTCTCTAATTCTTAAAGCTGTAATTAGATTAAATCCTTCGAGCGTCTCTGGGGTTATCTATTTTACAAGAGGGTAGTTTAAGAGCGTCTCTGGACTACCGTAAAATTAAGGAGAGATTGGGAGTTTGGCAGTTGCTAAATTGCTAGAACCAATTTATTTGCGAATGTGTGAATTAATTCAGGTATCTATGATCAATTGTGTGAACCGGTGCCGAGATTATCTCCTTGATTAGGTTGTGTCAATTAATTGTTTGTTTCATTCTTGAGTCATTGCATTTATTGCGATTGTTTATTTAGTAATCTTACGTTTTTAATTTGTTTCATTTATCTCTCTCTCTTTGAAAAATTTCCCAATTACCTGTGTGCAATAAATCTATCGGTTCCCTGAGGAGACGATTCTACTCACTGCTATACTCATTCAGTTTTGGAAGTAGGTATCATTATAAATTTTATCTTTGGTAGTTTGACAGCCACCAAATTTTGGCCTCCACTTTATGACAGACCCAAATGGTA